TATAATTTTGTTTTTTTGTTTTTTTACTGATTTTAGAGAGAGAGGAAGGGGAGGGAGAGAGAGAGAAACATCAGTGAGAGAGAATACCAATTAGCGGTCTCCTGCATGACCCCCAACTGGGGATTTGGCCCACAACCTGGGCATTTGCCCTAACCAAGAACTGAAAAGGCGACCTCTTGGTGCACTCAACCAGTGAGCCACACCGGCCGGGCAGCTGTTGTCATTTTTTGCCAATTTAAGGGAAAAGAGATCAGTGACCCTAACTAAATAGTCAGGTATTGTATGCTTTGTTTCATTTATTTGTTGTTGCTCCTCAACCAAGGATATTTTTCCATTGATTTCTAGATAGAATGGAAGGGACGGAGGGAGGGAGAGAAACAATATGAGAGAGACACATCTACTGGCTGCCTCTAGCACACACACAGACCTGCAATCCCTTGGTCCTCAGACTGATGTTCTAACCACTGACCCAAAGCGGTCAGAGGTATTGCATGTTTTAAAAATTCTTGCAACACCAGGCTGGTGTGGCTCATGGGATTGAGCATTGTCCCATGGACTGAGAGGTCCCAGTTTCATTCCCAGTGAGGGCACATGCCTGGGTTGGGGGCTTCATCGCCAGTGTGGAGCATGCAGGAGGCAGCTGATCAATGTTTCTCTCTCACACTGATGTTTCTATGTCTCTCTCTCTAAAAAAAAAAAAAATTATTCAATAAAAAACATATTTTAAAAAAATAAGAAAAATAAAATTATTGCAACTAGTTGAAAATTGCTGATGTATGGGATGGCTTAAAATGGGCCTTCCTAAACTGACACAGCTAACTAGATTATTAATCTGCAGTTAAAAAGATAGTCAGGGCTCCATAAAAGACAAAATGTACTCTAGCACACTGCTGATGAGAATGCAGACTGGTGCAGCCACTATGGAAAACAATATGGTGTTTTCTCAAACAATTAACAATGGAACTGCCATTTGACCCAGTGATCCCACTTCTTGGAATATATCCTAAGAAGCCTGTAACACCCGTCAGGAAGAATATATGTACCCCTATGTTCAAAGCAGCACAATTTACAATAGCTGAGATCTGGAAACAGCCCAAGTGACCATCAGGAGATAAGTAGATAAAAAAAAGCTGTGGCACAAAGCTGTATTACACAATGGAATACTATGCAGCTATAAGAAAGAGAGATCTCTTACCTTTCGAGATGACATGGAGGGACCTGGAGAATATTATGCTAAGCAAAATAAGCCAGTCAGAGAAAGACAAGTACCACATGATTTCACTTATTTGTGGGACATAATGAACAAAATAAACTGTCGACCAAAAGAGATCCAAAATCATGGAAGTAGGGAACAGACTGACAAACCTCAGAGGGATGGGGGGGTGGGAGCGGTGGGAAGAGATAAATCAAAGAATTTATATGCATATATGCACAATCAATCTACACCTAGGCTGGGGAAGGCGGAGGGCGGTGTCAATGGGGAAAAAAGGGGGACAGCTTTAATACTTTTAACATTAAAAAAAAAAAAAGTAGACTAAAAAAAAAGAAGTGAAAGAAATAGTTTATACTTTTAATACTTTGGGCCAAACTTCCAGAAAACTTATTTCTATAGGATGTATGGTACAAAGGAAAGTATTTACACCAGATTTTTAAATATTAAAAAAATGTCATACTCTAAAGTTCATTTTATGTACAATTTCATCAAACCAAAATGTTAAGGGATTGAAGTTACTGCTACAGCTAAAATACACTCAAACACACCAATTAATTTTTTTTAAAAAGACACCAACTATCCGACATATTTGTATTAAAAAGTAATCATCTCAAATACATAAAAAGTCTTTGAATTATATTTAATAAAATAGGTCCAATAAATTTCTAATGTGGTTACAAATAATTTTTAAAAAGCATTTTATGACCCTGGCTGGTTTGGCTCAGAGGTTAGAGCATCGGCCCACAGACCAAAAAGTCTCGGGATCGATTCTGGTCAAGGGCATGTACCTTGGTTGTGGTTCGGACCCTGGCACTGGCTTGGATGGTGCAGAAGGCAACCAATCGATGTGTCTCTCTCACACGGGTGTTTCTCTCACTCTCTCTCTCTCAATCTCTGTCTCTGTCTCTCCCTGCCTCTCCTTCCCACTCAATCTGAAAATAAACAGAAAAATGTCCTTGGGTAAGGACTTAAAAAATTAATTAATTTTTAAAAAGGGCATTTTTGGTATATATTTGAGTATATATCTACATAGACACTTACTGGAATCTAGAAATTTTATACTATCTTCCTACAAATACAGCATAGGTTGGGACATGTGCTAGAAATGGACAGCATTAGAAAAGTTTAAATTTTATAATTATAAACACTTTATCTTCCAGCTTTTCATCCATATTAAGAACAAGAAAAATTAATATAAAACAGTAACTGATAAAGTTAGAAAGGAAGAAGTAACTAAAAGGGCTTATTAAGTACCTAAAAATGATTTACACTTTAACATTAAATCCATATTTCCACTACTAATTTTCCTAATCTACACAAATATATTCTTTCTCTCATACACTAAAACAAATACAAAATTCCATTTGAATGTATTCTATTCTACATATCTCATCATTTCAACTTCTTACAAACTTGACAATAGCTCAGATTAATAGATGAAAATAGTATAGTATATTACCATAAACTTACAATTATCTCCATGTACCCAAATGCTACAATCTTAATGCTGATTTTAAAATATTCATGTGGTGTGTTTTTTTTTTTTTAATTTCTGCTTAAAACATCAAAAAGTGCAACAAGCCTTTTAACCACTGCAAATGCAAAATGATACTTTATAAATGATTTCAGAGCTCTGAATTTAGAAAATGTTCATCTGCCCAGGCCAGGTAGCTCAGTTGGTTAGAGCACTGTCCCCATACGCCAAGGTTTCAGGTTTGATCCCCAGTTAGGGCACATACAAAAATCAACCAATGAATGCATAAATGAGTGGAACAATAAATCGATGTTTCTCTCTCTCCTCCCTTCTTCTCTCTCTCTAAAAAAATCAATAAATATTTTTAAAAATAAAAGTAAAATGTTACTCTGTGAGCCCTGGCCAGTTTAGCTCAGCGGTTAGTGTCGGCCCGCAGACCAGAGAGTCCAGGGTTCGGTTCCTGCTAAGGGCACATATCTTGGTTATGGCACATATCCCCAGCCTGGTTGGGGTCGTGTGGGTGGCGACCAGTTGATGTGTCTCTCTTACATCGATGTTTCTCTCTCTCTCTTTCCCCCTCCTCTCTCTCATACTCTATCTGAAGAAAAATGCAAAAGTGTCCTCAGGTGAGGATAAAAAAATAAATAAAATGTTACTCTGTGGATAAAAGAAAATGTTTGTGTAACAAGGATTTTAACCCACAAAGATTATGCTGTTACTTTACTTTTTTTTTCTTCAACCATCAGACTACATCAGTTTCTATTTACTATTTCGTTCTTTTTTTAAGACATTTTATATACTACATTAGTAGTTTAAAGTACCTCAAGTGTTTGTCTTACTTTTTAGTACCTCATACAAGTCAGTGTCTAACTTCTTATAATCACAAAAAGTGAAAACAGACAGAAAAGTGATTTGTTGGAAGCCACATTTAGAACGTAAACACAAATGTTAAACGAAAAGTATAGAGGATCTCTAGAACAAGATGCTAAAACTAAACATCTACTACTAGAAGCTGTTAATCTAAAATTTATTATCTAACAAATGAATACTACAAACTACAGCAGAAGTTTACCTACAAAGTTATCAAACTCGGACTAAGTAGAATACAAGACAAAAATATGCTTGGCGGTGCAATCATAAGTCAAAGTTACAAACAAAAGAACACAATATACTACACGAAATATTCAGATATTTTCTAAATTATCGAACTAGGTTATACTCATCCAAAGCATTCCGGATATTTTTTTCGATCCAATTCTTTAAAAATACGTTAGGGTTTTTAAGTATACTTTGGCAAGTCAAAAAGTTTATCTAAAATAAAGCACTTTACACAACAAAATGGTGTAGCTGTTCCTAGGATACAATAGAAACAAAAATCATCTTCAAAACCCAATCAATAAAATATATGCTTTCAGTAAATTTAACTCCACTTTGGGGGGTCAAGGGTTTCCTCTGTTTTGACAACTACCCTGAAATGTCTATTCCACCTGAGAGTTTAATAAAACTCTTCAAGTTGGGTCACCCAGGGACCGTCACTCAGCCCACAGATAAAAGAACATCCCCAAACGGCTTACCTTCTGCTGAACCAAACCCTTTTCCCTGAGCAACAGAACGTTTTCAATGAACATAAACACACCTTCCTCCGATCTCTCTCCAAACACTCCGGCACAGCGGAAGCCACTCGGCTCAGACAGGCAGGAGACCACAGTTGCCCCTCCACCCGCGGCCCCTACAGAGAACCGGGTCGGTCTGGATCGCCGCCCCTGGTAAAGAACAATTCACCAGCCCGGCCGCACAGAGAGCGCAACTTCCCACGAGCCTGCACCGCGGTGCAGACTCCGGAATCCGCCACCGGGCTGGGGATGAGGGCGGAAGGGTGAGAAGGGTGAGCGCGCAACCAGGGCAGCAAAGAACGCCGGCCCCGCGGCGGCTGCCCCGGCGCCCGGTGAGCAGGCTGGAGTGATGGAGCCACTGGCCTGGGCTCCGCGGCTCTCCCCTGGAGACCCGGATCTCCCGACTTTGCTTCTCTGAGAGGCGACCCCCCAATCCCCTGCCACCGGGGCGGCAGGGGGCGGCGAAGGCCTCGCCGGAGGCTCGGAGCCTCCTCGGCCCGCCACGGAAGGGAACGCGGTCAGGGTACGAGGGACAATAGGGAGCGGGGAGCACTACGCGCCAGAGTGGCGCCGCCGGCCGGCCGGGCTGACTGACGCGCCCGCCGCGCCGCACGCCTGGGCTCTGCTCGGCCGGGCCGCCGCTGCCGCCGCGCGGTCCGCGGGGGTCACGGCGCCCCCGGCGCTCCGGGTCGTGCCTCACCTCCCAGCCCCGCCGCCCAGGACAGGAGCAGAATTAACACTCTCAGCAACACCATCTTCCGCTGCCGCCGCCTCCTCACGGGTTAACAGCAGCACATCGATCCGGAGGGAGAAGCTGAAGGGGCTTGGTCCGGAGACTCTACGGGAAGCCGGGACCTCCCCCGGCAGGAGAAACGGCGAAGCACCTCCCTCTCGCTCCACTTCAGGGGCCGGCAACGCGTCCAGCTTCTCCAAAACAGGGACCTCCCTCCCCCTCGTTCGTTTCCTTCCTCTCTTCCCCGCTTTCCTTCCCTCGCTCCTTTCCTCTTCTCTATCTCCCTCCCCCAAGCCTGGGACCTGCCTCCTTCCTCACCACGTGACGCACGGGCGCCCAACGGGCACGCGGAGCCGCGCCCCTTCCTCCTGCCCCTCCCCCTCCCCCAGGCGTCCCAGGGGCGCGCGCATGCGCGCGAAGGCCGGTTCTCGGGCTGCTAGGCCCGCCGCCGCTTCCTGTCCGCCGGCGGAGAGCTAGGATTGGGCTTGGGGGGCGGAGTTCCCTCTGGTCCCGCCCCCCGGCGGGAGCGCGTCTCAGCGGATCGTGCTCCGCTACTTCTTACAGCTGCTGAGACCTGTGCGTTGGAGAAAAATGAGAGAGTGAAAGATGTTTAGGACTGTTTTCCATTTCTTAACTTCGCAAGGAACGTTTTTTGTTTCTTTTTCGGCCTCTGGTGGTGCATGGCAGCTAGTAAGTAAACAAAAGCAAAGTACCAACAAGCAGTAATTATACTGGTGACAGCCACCCGTGATCAAAACACAAATGTTAAGACCTTCAAGCATCGTAAAGACACAACCTAAGGCGTGTTTTTTTGAGCTCTTTACAGATTGTGTCACAGACTTGGCCTTAGCCGTTCTGAAAGCCTGCAGCGTAGACCACAAAGGTCCTAAATCTCCAGCCCCCAAAATTGTCATGACCACTTTCTGTCTTGTCTCGGAAGAGAATTTTCAAATCTCCTTCACCTCAACTTCCTAACTTGTTTCAAGTTTATATTTGCTTTCTTAGTAACTCACTTTGAATCTTTAAACTCGTATTTCATGAACTACAGATTTAAGCAGAAGACCTGAACCATAGAACTTTAAAATAAATAGATGAATAAAAACGGAGAAAGATCCTTGAGGTTGGTCTTGGCAAAGACTTTTTTGGATATGACACGAAAACAAGCAATAAAAGCAAAAATAAATAAATGGACTACACCAAACTAAAAAGGTTCTGCACAGCAAAAGAAACAATGAAGAAAATGAAAAGGCAACCTTCAGAATGAGGAAAAATATTTCCAAATCATATATCTGAGATAGGGTTAATATCCAAAATATGTAAGGAATTCTTACCACTCAATAGCACAAAAGCAAACAATCCAATTTAAAAATGGGCAGAGGAACTAAATAGACATTTTCCCAAAAATATCCAAAAGACCAACAAGTACATGAAAAGATGCTCAACACCACTAGTCATTAGGGAAACACAAATCAAAATCACAATGAGATGTCACCTCACTGTGAGAACAGCTATGACCAAAATGAAAAATGTGGCAAGAAAAGGGAACCCTTGTGCACTGTTGGTGGGAATGTAAATTGGTACAGTCACTAGAAAACAATACAGAGGTTCCTCAAAAAATTAAAATAGAACTACTATATGATTCAGCAACCCCACATTTTTGTTGTTGTTAATCCTCACTATAGCATATTTTTCCATTATTATTATTATTTTTTTTTTTTTTTAGATAGAGTAAGAGGGAGGGGGAGAGACAGAGAAACATTAATGTGAGAGACACATCAATTGTTTGCCTTTGACCAAGAATCAAACTCACAACCCTTCAGTCCAAGGGCCATGCTCTAACCACTGAGCCAAATCAGTCAGGGCAGCAACTCTGCTTTTGGATATACAGTACCTGGAAAGGAAAGGAAATGAGGATCTCAAAAGAGATATCTGCATTCCCACGTTGATTGCAACATTATTCACAGTACCTATGGTATGAAACAACCCAAGTGTCTCTCTATGGATGAATGGATAAAGACAATGTGATACACACACACACACACATCAGAATATTATTCAGCTATGAGAAAGGATATCCTGCCATTTGCAACATTATGAATGAACCCTCAGTTCATTATTCTAAGTGAAATAAGTCAGACAGAAAAAAATAAATGTATGTGAACTCTAAAAGTGCCAAACTCGTAGAAACAGAACAGAATGTTGGTTACCAGATGCTGGGGGGTGGGAAAATAGGGAGATGTTGGTCAAAGGGTACAAATTTCCAGTTATAAGATGAATAACTCCTGGGAAGCTAATGGAAACTATATACTACCGCGTTATATACGTCAAGGTTACTACGAGAAATCTTAATGTCCTCACCACAAAAAATAAATGGTAATTAGGTGTTAACTAACCTTATCGTGATAATAATTTTACAATATATAAGCATATCAAATCAATACATTGTACTCATTAACTTTACACAATATTATATGTTGATTATATCTCAATAAAGCTGAAAAAATTAAATAAATAAATGTAAACAATTCAGTGGCATTTAGTAAATTCACAATGCTGTGCAACCATCACCACTATCTAGTTCCAAAACATATTCATATGGCAAGTGAGAAAAAAATCATGTATTTCATGAGCTAGAACTTTTTGATATCTTTTAATTAGATATTCTTCATCTATGTGGCATTCTGATTGCATTGGCTAAATAAGGGAATATAAATGTTAATAGTATTGATGAGAATAATATATTGGAAATTCTATGCTTCTTTTTATTCTGACTTTTTTTTTTTTTTTTTTTTTTTGCTTTTAAAAATGTTTTTATTGATTTTAGAGAGAGAACAAGGGAGAGAGGTAAAGAGGGAGAAACATTAGGCACCCCATCCGGGGAACAAACCTGCAATCTGGGCATGTGCCCTGACGAGACATCAAACTGGTGACCCTTCAGTTTGATATCTCAACCAACTGATCCACACAGGCCAGGGCTTACTCTAAATAGTTTTTCAATTTATTACCATTAACATAAGTCAAGAGCATGTTTCTTTATTTTTTATTTTTATTTTTTTTACTCAGATAGAGTGGGAAGGAGAGAGAGGAAGAGAGAGAAACATCGATGTGAAAGGGACACATCGAGTGGCCGCCACCCACACGACCCAACCAGGGCCGGGGACAAACTGCAGCCAAGGTACGTGCCCTTAGCGGGAACCGAACCTGGGTCTCTGTGGACCGCAGGCTGACGCTCTAACCGCTGAGCCAAACCGGCCAGGGCAAGAGCATGTTTCTTTAATTCTCAGTTTGAGAAATGAATTACTATAGTTTTGCTCGAACAATAGTAAGCTCAAATTCATTCAGACGTTCTAAAATAATCATTAATTGCACCATTTATAATGAAATTATTAAAAGATGGCAGAATCTCATGAATAGATGTTTTTCACCCTTTCTTAAACTATCCAATCTTAGGGAACAGTTACATGCAACATTACAAGGTGTATCACTTGTGCTTCTTGCTTTTCTCTTTTGGTGGTGCTGTCAGCAAATGATGCTTTGATTTTGTAACTATTAGACCACCTTGTGTCATGTTTAGTGTTGCAAAGTTTTTGTTGTTGTTTTTGTCATTAAGTCCAATGATTAGAGGCAAATGGAACTTTGTCTTTAAGTTCAACTGAAAAAAATCCAAAATCATATTTTGTATTACCAAAGTGGTCACTGAAAATTATGTTTAAGATGGTATTTTTGTTTGTTTGTTTGTTTTTGTTTTTCCTTTATTGATTTGAGAGAGAGAGGAAGGGAGAGGGAGAGAGAGATAGAAACATTGATGAGAGAGAACATCGACTGGCCACCTCCTGCATGCCCCCCACTGGGGCATGTTCCCTGACCGGGAATTGAACTGGTGACTTCTTGGTTCATGGGTCGATGTTCAACCACTGACCCACACCAACAAGGCTAAGATTGTATTTCTTATTTTATTTTACTTATTTATTTATTTTTATCTTCACCTGAGGACATTTTCCCATTTTTTGTTTAGATAGAGCGAGAAAGGGAGAGAGAAAGAAAGAGAGAGAGAGAAACATGGATGTGAAAGGGACACATGCCACCCGCATGACACAACCAGGGCCGGGGACAAACTGCAACCGACGTACGTGCCCTTAACAGGAACCGAACCCGGGTCTCTCTGGACCACAGGCCGATGCTCTAACCGCTGAACCAAACCGGCCAGGGCTGTATTTCTTATTTTAAAACATGAATACACTCCATACCAGCATCATAATGAATGGTATTCTAATGTTACAAATTTGGACCAGTATTCGGTTTGAAGTTTTAACTTCCTACATTTTTGGTGTTTTGCAAATATATGGTTGACTGATGAAATGTGGAAATATAAAGTCTGCATTTATACCATGATAGACTGCCTGGGTTTGACTCCCAGCTCTACCATTTATAAGCTGTGTGGTTTTGGCCATTTCACCAATTTGACCTCAATATTTCTTTTGTAAAATGAGAATGATAAAATATTTGCCTCACCCTGGCTGGTTTGGCTCCGCGATTAGAGTATCAGCCCTCATTTGTGGTTCATCCCCGGCCCTGGTTGGGGTCATGGGCGGGAGGCGGCAGGGGGCAACCAGTTGATGTGTCTTTCTCACATCGGTGTTTCTCTTTTCTTCCCTCCCACTCTATCTGAAGATAAATAGGAAAATATCCTCAGGTGAGGATTAAAAAAATAAATAAAGTAAAATTTAAAATATATATATATATATATTTGCTTCATGGAATTGTTGTATTTTTGTTTTGGGGTTGTAGTTTTTGTTTTTGTTTTTTTAGATTTTTAAAATTTAATTATAGAGAGAGAGGAAGGAAGGAAGAGGGAGAGAGAAACCAACGTGAAAGCAAAGTATCAATTGGCTGCCTGCTCCACGCCCCCTACTGGAGATCAAGCCTGCAACCTGGGCACGTGCTCTGACCTGGAATCAAACCAGCAAACCTCAGGTGCACCAGATGATACCCAACCAAGTGAGCCACACTGGCCAGGGCTTATAAAATTATTTTGATAATTAAAGTTAAATTAATTAACATTTATAAAATGATTATAACAGTGCCTGGCAGGTAATAATCGCTATATATGTGATTGTTAAGCAAAAATATATAAATATCATAGCCCTTCCATGAACACTCAAACATCCATTCAGAAAGTAATTAATAGCATTATTTCCTTAGCAATAATACACAACTTTGATGCTACCAGTATAATAAAAGATATCCTCAAGATTTAATAATGAGAACTTTGGCTATGTAAAGTATATTATACAAGTAATACTACAGAAAAATGCTTTTGCACGACTTGCAGCCAATCTGGTATGTTTCAACAGTTACATTTTATTTTATTTTTTGTAATTTTTATTAATTTATTTTTGTTACAGATATTTCTCCTTTTTCCCCCGTAGACACCCTCCTCCCGATCACCCA